TCCACCACTGCGAGTCCCTACTACCTTCCCTCCGACCCCCGCAACTGGCAGCCAGCTCTCCCACCACTCAGTGTGGTGAATGTTTTGTTTGTTCATTATTTGCTATTAAACTACAGAATAAATAATGTAAACCCATTCATGACTGCATATTGGAATGGCTATTAGGAAAGGTTTTAGATGGTGACATCATGTGTTTACTCTTGAACACAGCAAAGAATCGAACATTTCTGCTATTGCTAATAATAACAATAGTAATAATAATAATAATAATAATAATAATAATAATAATAATACATATATAATAGAATATTGAAGAAGGAAATTGTACAAAAATACGAGGGAGTGGTTGACACATCGTCAGTGTGACTTTGTTTATGCTGGAGTGAACATTAGTCTCCCTGCTCTTCCAAACATTTCACAATAATTCAGCGGTTGAGGCAGTGGTATTTAATAACATATATGCTATAAATAATAATAGCATATGTTATTATTAATAACAAGTATTATTATTAACATGTATGTATTTAATAACATGTTATAAATAATAATAGTACATATTATTAATAACATGTATTATTATTAACATGTATGTTATTAAATACCATTGCCTCAATCATCTCCTCTACCACTCCAGTCACACTCAATCTACAAGCACCAAACACAATGAATTATTGTGAAATGTTTGGAAGAGCAGGGAGACTAATGTTCACTCCAGCATAAACAAAGTCACACTGACAATGTGTCAACCACTCCCTCGTATTTTTGTACAATTTCCTTCTTCAATTATATCATATTTATTATTATATTATTATTATTATTATTATTATTATTATTATTATTATTATTACTATTGTTATTATTAGCTGTAGCAGAAATGTTTAATTCTTTGCTGTGTTCAAGAGTAAACACATGATGTCACCGTCTAATACCTGTCCGAATAGCCATTCCAATATGCAGTCATGAATGGGTTTACATTATTTATACTGTAGTTTAATAGCAAATAATGAACAAACAAAACACTCACCACACTGAGTGGTGGGAGGGCTGGCTGCCAGTTGCGGGGGTCGGAGGGAGGGTAGTAGGGACTCGCAGGTGGCGGGAAACTTAAATATGATTTGGCGGCTGGGAATTTGGCGATTGGGAATTCGCGAATGTGTGAAGCCCGTGAAAGTTGAAAACGTGAATGTTGAGGGAGACCTGTACGTATTACTTATTCCTATGATGTCTTAATCCTGGGGTCCACTGTATATGACTTTTATTGTTCAATTGTTTTAAGAATTATAAGTTTGATTATGATTATAGGTAGTGAGGATACATACTAGCATATGAACAAAATATGAACACATTTAACAATAAGAATAATCACTAAATCCCATTCCTGGCAACCCCCCCACTCTGGCAACACCCCCCACCCCCACCCACTCTTCATAGATCTAAACTTACTCCCTGTTCAGAACATCCACACTTACTACTGTGCAATCTATATCTACAGGACCTTAAATTCCAATATTAACCTTGACCCAAAATGCTTTCTTGATAGTTGTGACAGAACCCACAGGCATAACACCAGACACAAACATCTCTATGACATTCCCCGTGTTCGACTAAACCTTTACAAAAATTCAATGTATTTCAAAGGACCTAAAATCTGGAACACCCTACCTGAAAACTCTAGAACTGCAGACACATTCATCCCCTTTCAAAACTACAGTTAGAAAACATCTTATCTCCCTGATCCACCCCGACAACTAACTACATGATAACCACCTGGTGGTTCACAATTACACTCACTCACTCCACTGACTATAAACCCAGAAATACTAATCTTAATCTTAAAATAATAAATCCTAACTAGTCATAAGTTTGCCTATGATACTCCAATATAGACACTTTGTATTGTGCCAAAACAAAAGTATTCACATTGCTAAACTTACAAATTATGATGTAGTCACTTAGCCTTAATACCATAATCTGTAAGGATTTAATGTTAAGAATTAATCTAAGTCTGCTCAAAATGCCTAGCCAGGCTAGGTGTCCTAGTGGCCCCCTCTGTAATTAGTATTTTATAATATGTAAACCACACAATACCCAAAACCTGTAAACCCCACATTGTAACCCTTATAGAGAATAAACTTGAATTGAATTGAATTGAGGGTCCAAGCCGTAGATCTACACCTTGCCCACAGGATCCAAAAATTTTCAAAAATATTTTTTATTTTTTCTTATGAAATGTTAGAGAATCTTTTTCTGAAGGTAATAAAACAAAAAGTATGAAATTTGCTGGAAAATTGACAAAATTATGCTCTCACGAATTTTGCTGCTTCAGTGACATTTATGAATCAGCGATACTGCCGACTTTGACTCCCATTTTAGGCCAATTACATTATTCCAGTCAACCAAATTCTTAGCTATTTTGCTAGTATTACTTCTATTTTATCGACTGACCACAAGAAATCACCCAATCAACTGTTTCAACTACCATATAAAGTGATCGGAAATTGGTTATTTTGCCAATTTCACACAAAATTCAAAATATTCCAATTTCAAAACAGGGTTCAGAATAAACAATGCAGGCATTCCTGGCACTAAACTATCATTTCCTCTACTTAGTAGTTACATTTTCAGGTTTTACAAATGAATTTCATTTTTATTTTTTATTCACATAATGAATTTTTATTCACACCAAAAAATAGAAGATTTACTGTTATGCAATACTGTAATAATTGTATAAATAATATCAGCACATTCATGAATGCACATTACACCCAACAGCTGATGTGTATTGAACGCTTGATGTGATTTGTTTACTCTTGAACATCGACAAACTCAAACATTTCTGCTACTTTGAACTCAGTTTCAACCCATTTTCACTACTAAAACCAGTCAAAATCATCTCTATTTCTGTAATATATCATCCATTCAATCAAATGAGACCAAGATACCGTGAATACAACTGTGAAAAATATACAAAAAAATACCACAAAGGCGCTGTTTTAATCCATAAATACGGTCTCAGTTTCTTTTCTCATTATGCACTGCGTCCTGTAGGATTTGTTTAATATGGTGCACACTTACCACATAGATGTATTCTCTCATATCTAGGCCCAAATTTACCATTCACAGCTTATCTCAGTGAGCTGAGATCAAGCCATAGTTCTACAGCTTGGACCCATGCTTCAAAGCTGTAGAACTATGGGATGGACCCTCGAGAATAAGAATACATTGTTTACCATGGCCTCCATGGGGAAGTGGAACAGAATATGTCCTCTGTAAGCCATGTGTGTTGTAAGAGGCAACAAAAATGCTGGGAGCAAGGGGCTAGTAACCCCTTCTCCTGTATACATTACTAAAGTTAAAAAGAGCAACTTTCATTTTTCTTTTTAGGTCACTCTGCCTCGGTGGGACATGGCCAGTTTGATGAAAAAAAATATGTTTGTGACATTGAGAATGTGAATACAGTACTGTACATAGTTTTCTCATATTTAGCTTAGAAAAAAAAACAGAAAATTAACAGACAACAGCAATCATAGATGCAGTCTGAAACTATTTAATAAATCCCTAAATATCACTAAGCCAGTTTAAAGTACTAATACACACTTAAAATTGTACTATTGCAAATTTTGCTCATTGCAAATTTTTTGCCACCTCTCCATTGTAAATTTTACTAATTGCAATATTTTTGCTACCTCTCTTTTTTGTAATAATACATAATTTAAATTTAGCAGTCAATAAGGTACTCCCTGCATGACTGCAATCCTGCATATCTGCTACACTCCCTGCATGCCTGCTACACTTCCTGCATGTCTGCTACACACCCAGCATGCCTGCTACACTTCCTGCATGTCTGCTACACACCCAGCATGCCTGCTACACTCCCTGCATGCCTGCTACACTTCCTGCATGTCTGCTACACACCCAGCATGCCTGCTACACTCCCTGCATGCCTGCTACACTTCCTGCATGTCTGCTACACACCCAGCATGCCTGCTATGCTCCCTGCATGCCTGTTACACTCCCTGCATGCCTGCTACACTTCCTGCATGTCTGTTACACTCCCTGCATGCCTGCTACACTTCCTGCATGTCTGTTACACTCCATGCATGCCTGCTACACTTCCTGCATGTCTGTTACACTCCCTGCATGCCTGCTACACTTCCTGCATGCCTGCTACACTTCCTGCATGCCTGTTACACTCCCTGCATGCCTGCTACACTTCCTGCATGCCTGTTACACTCCCTGCATGCCTGCTACACTTCCTGCATTTTCTGCTGTTACACTCCTGCATGCCTGCTACACTTCCTGCATGTCTGTTACACTCCCTGCATGCCTGCTACACTTCCTGCATGTCTGTTACACTCTCTACATGCCTGCTACACTTCCTGCATGCCTGTTACACTCCCTGCATGCCTGCTACACTTCCTGCATGTCTGTTATACTCTCTACATGCCTGCTACACTTCATGCTTAAATTCCATGGAGTTTCTCACTTTCTTTACCACAGGAACTTTAGTAGGAACTTTCTTTGGACCCGTGGTTACTTATGTCACAGTTGCAGTGCAAAAAACTCACAAAAAACAATGGAAAACAAGCGAAATGTTTGGATGTATGAGCAGAAGCTTCCTCACGCACCGAAAGACACAGCCAAACTGACGTGCAAGCGGCTCCACCCAGTGGACAGACGCGTCCAAAACGGCCGATCACCAAAATAATGGCCGATCACCGGGAGCTGAAAAACCAGCCAATCACCGAGATGGCAGATAACAGGACCGGCCGATAACCAAGGGTCCACTGTAATACTACTAATATTTTATTTCACCATGATACAAAGTTTATACAGAGATGGATAACATTTAGACAGTCCATTGTTATGTAGTGCAATACTATACAAATCTACCATATCTTAGAACCGTATAAGATGAAAGTAAAGTGCAGTATACTGCTGTACCATCTGTTCTCAACAAGTATTTAAATAATGGACATACATGAGAGTGGTATACTAACCTCCAGAATGTAGCAGGTAGCTTCAGGGTTGAAGTTGACCCCGGTATCTTGATGGAAGTGACATTTTATGCAGTCTTTATTTTGCTTAGAGCGAGCAAACTTGAAGAAATACTTGTATTGTGCACCAACTTTCTGTAAAGGAATCACAACCGCCTTCATTCTTTGGAATCCAGACCAAAGAAAATCTAAACCATTTGGCTCATTTATTTAATAAAACCAATAATATATAACAGCTCCATGGGAAAGTTGAGAAGAATCCTTCCTACATAAGCCATGTGTGTTATAAAAGATAACTAAGATGCCAGGAGCAAGGGGCTGGTAACCCCTTCTTCTGTATAAATTACCAGAGAAGGGGTTACTATTTCCACTTTACCTCGGTGGGAGGTGGCCAACGTGTTAAAATAAATATGTATGTGTGGTGTAAATATTATACAGAGAATTTGTAGTGTGGAAATTAGGAGGTGTGAAGTTACTAAAAGTATTATTCAGAAGGCTGAAGAGAGGTTGTTTAGGTGGTTTGGTCAATTACTGAGGATGGAGCAAAATAAGATGACTTGGAGGGTGTATAAATCTGTAGTGGAGGGGTAGGAGTCATCCTAGGAAAGGCTGGAGGGAGGGGGTAAAAGAGGTATTGTGACCTGGACATACAGCAGGCATGTGAGAGCATGTTAGATAGGAGCGAAAGGAGACGAATGATTTTTGGGACTTGACGAGCTCTTGGAGTGTGAGCAGGGTAATATTTTGTGGAGGGATTCAGGAAAACTGGTTAGCCAGACTTGAGTTCTGGAGGTGGGAACTACAGTACCTGGAAATTAACCCTTTCAGGGTCCGTCCCGTAGATCTACGGCTTTACGTTCAGGGTTCAAACCGTAGATCTACGCCATGAGCTCAGCTCACTCTGATAAACTGTGAGTGGTACATTTGGGCCTAGATATGAGAGAATACATCTATGTGGTATGTGTGCACCACATAAAACAGATCCTGCAGCACACTGTGCATAATGAGAGAAAAAAAATGAAATCATGATTTTTTGATTAAAACAGCAACTTTGCAGTGTTTTTTCGTATGTTTTTTATAGTTGTATTTGCGATTTCTTGGTCTCATTTGATAGAATGGAAGACATATTACAGAAATAGAGATGATTTTGATTGGTTTTAGCACTGGAAATGGCTTGAAACTGAGCTCAAAGTAGCGGAAATGTTAAATTTTTGCCGATATTCAAGAGTAAACAAACGACCTCACACGTCTAATACACATCAGCTGGTGGGTCTAATATACATTCACAAATATGGTGATGATATTTATACAATTATTACAGTATTGCATAACAGTAATCTTCTATTTTTTGGTGTGAATAAAAATTCATTATGTGAATAAAAATCAAAATGGAATTTATTTGTAAAGCCTCAAAACATAACTAATGAACAGAGGAATGTTAGTTTAGTGCCAGGAATGCCTACATTGTTCATTCTGGACCCTATTTTGAAATTGGAATATTTTGAACTTTGTGTTAAATTGGCCAAATTAACAATTTCCGATCACTTTATTTTGTAGTTGAAACAGTTGACTTGGCGATTTCTTGTTCTCAATCGATAGAATAGAAGTAATACTAGTGAAATAGCTAAGAATTTGGTTGATTGGAATAATGTAATTGGGCTAAAATGGGAGTCAAAGTCGGCAAAATCGCCGATTCGTAAATATCGCTGACACATCAAAATTCGCGAGAGCATAATTTCGTCAATTTTCCACCAATTTTCGTACTTTTTGTTTTATTACCTTCACAAAAAGATTCTCTACGATTTCATAAGAAAAAATAACAATTTTTTTTTTTTAAATATCTTGGACACTGGTGCGTGACTCCAGATTTGGGCCTTGGACCCTGAAAGGGTTAATGGAGGGGTTTAGGATATTGGCTGTTTGGAGTGACATCTAAACTGTTGAATCTGGGCACCTCTGCAAAGACAGTGATTATATGTAAATGATGGTGAAAATGTTTTTTTTTTTTGCTGGGTCACCCTGCCTCAGTGGCAGATGGCTGACGTGTTAAAAAAAAAAATAGTTACCAAGGAAAATGAACTTAATAATGACTTGTGTATTGTTCAGTTACCATTCATTTATAGTTATTTTAATATGTTTTGTATGCTCTCACTTTTCCCCTCCAATACCTCCCGTGTGATAACATGGTGGAATGTATGTATTTAAAATAAGTTTTCCATTTTTGCTCAAGATCTCAACCATTAGAATTTCAGCATGATTTTTCAAGTGGATAACTACATACTCTTAAATAGGCAGGTGATAGTACAGGTCCGCCATCACAAATCCGGCAATCAGTTATTCGGTTCCTTCAGTTATTCGGCACTAATTTCGGCTAGCATAATTTCAAATTTCCAGGGTCGCCACATCGACCTGCTGGTACTGTTTGGTGGCGCTACTTGCTGCATAAGTCATTCTAATTTCTTTTTCTCCATTTATTGTTTTAACCTGCTTACTTTTAGCCCTAGCCATGGTTCCAATGAATAAAAGAAATACTTTTTGTTGTGTAAAGCACCTACACAGTACATTGTCCATTAAAGATAAGGTGGCTTTGAAGCCACTGTCGGTTGTCATGAGCTCAGTCTCGTGATGCAGGAGAATATGCTTTATTATTATGCTAATATCAACACTACAGCTTATTTGCCTATCACAATTGATCTAATATGACTTAATAAACAATATAAATAACATAAAAACATGTTAAATACTCCAGAATGAATAATATTTGGCATAATACCGAGCAGTTCGAGGGAGGTATGAAGAGGATACAAGATAGAAGTACCATTCTCCTATCCTTGTCTTGGGAGCTTATATTAGAGAAAACGGAGTATAGCACAGGGCTAACTGTGATATACACTCATACTGCACCATAAACCTGAAACAAAAAAGCTATTTTCTCTATATAGATTACCACACATAGCAGCATATGTGTAGAGAACCTAGGAGAACCCAAAAAAGTCAGACAACATGGCTTATTTCAAGTACCTGGCTTGGATTAGCCATATATGATTTTTGGTAAATATTCGATTCCCAGCCAGGGTAGAAACATTGGGCGTGTTACTTTACACCTGTTGTCTATGTTTACCCATCAGTAAATGGGTACCTGGGTGTTGGTCGACTAGTGTGGGTGTTATCCTGGGACACTGACCTAATTTGCTTGAAATACTCTGCATAACAAGCGGCTTTCTATATAGTAGTATGTCACTGATGTATACCTTGTACATGTATGTGTAGTAAATTATTATTATTATTATTATTATTATTATTATTATTTTCTCAGTTGTTTGTTGGGTTATCTTATTGAAACTTGGGCAATGTATGATTGAAAGATACTTCTTAATGTACACCAAAAATGAAAAAAATTAGACCATAAATAGCAGAGTTCACTTCTCAGCCATTAGCGGCCGCTTAGCGGTATATTTTTGTATGGTTTTTATAATTATATTCTCGTTTTTTCGATCTCATTTGATAGAATGGTAGATATATTACAGAAATAGATATGATTTTGATTGCTTTCATGACGAAAAGTACCTTGAAATTGTGCTCACAGTAGCAGAAAAGTCTATTCTTTAGCGATGCTCGAGTAAACAAATGACGTCACCGTCCAATACCTGTCCACCTGCCAGTTCAAATTCCAATACGCAGCCAAGAATGGGTTGACATTATTTATACAATTATTACAATAATGCAGCAGTCTGCATAACAGTAAATCTTCTATTTTTTTGTGAATAAAAATTCCAAATGGTAAGCAAGAATAATATAAGAGGGGCCTGTAGCCGTGACTAATGAACAGAGAAAATGTTATTTTAGTGCCAGGAATGTCTGCATTGTCTATTCTGGACCCTATTTTGAAATTGGCATCTGTTGAAATTTGTGTGAAATTGGCCAAATTGCCAATTTCTGACCACTTTATTGGGTAGTTGAAATAGGTGAATGAGCAGTTTCTTGTACTCAGTTGACAGATTAGAAGTAAATAAGTTTATTCAGGTATACACAAATACAGTTACATAGATTATCATACATAGCAGTATATGTATAGAGAACCTAGGATAACCCAGAAAAGTCAAAGTGACTTATTTCCAGTACCTGGCTTGGGCTTGCCATGATTTTTGGTAAATATTTGGTAAATATTGTTTTTTTCTCAGTTGTTTGTTGGGCTATCTCATTGAAACTTGGGCAGTGTATGAGGGAAAGTGCTTTTTAACGTACACCAAAAATAAAAAAGACGGACGATAAATAAGGGAGTTCACTTCTCAGCCATTAGCCGCCTCTTTGTGCTATATTTTAGTATGGTTTTTATGGTTGTATTCTTGTTTTTTTGCTCTCATTTGATAGAATGGAAGATATATTACAGAATTAGATATGATTTTGATTGCTTTCATGATGAAAAGTACCTTGAAATTGAGCTCAAGGTAGCAGAAATGTTCGATTTTTGCCGATGTTCAATGAACTTTGTGTAAGTCAAGTTGGTTAATTTTATTAAGTGTATTCTAACCTAACCACTATGTAATCTGGCAAACTCAGTAATCCAGCACACTACAGGTCCCAATGATGCCAGATTTGTGATGGAGGACCTGTAGTATACAGTGGAACCTCAGCTTATGAGTGCCCCACCATACAAGTTTTTCAGGATACAAGCAGTTGCTTGGTCAATTTTTTATTTCTGGATACGAGCAAAAATTCAAGATGCGAGTTTCCCCCTCAAACAACTTTTTTTTTAGACTTCCAAATATTACAAAAATAAAAGTGGATATATAATTGTAGTTCATTGTCATGATGTATTATATTGTTTTTACTGCTTAAGATTACAGATGCAACACAAATACAGTAGGGCCCCACTTATACGGCAGGTTAGGTTCCAGGCTACCGCCGTAAAGTGGAAATCGCCGTTAAGTGGAACACCTTTTTTCCACTTATAAATGCATACAAATACTAGATAACAAGTTTACACTAACATATATTAAGTTAGCATTAGAACTAGGCATCAAAAAACAACAAAAAAGTACAATGCACACATAGTGCACTCATTACTTACCTCAAAATATTTATAGTCTTAATCTAGGGTGAGACAAGTAGTATTTATTGTAAGAAATCAAGTG